GAGTCCCGGGATCGAGTCCCGCATCGGGCTCCCTGCTCAGCAGGGAGTCTGCTTCTCCCCCTGACCCTCTTCCCTCTCGTGCTCTCTCTCTCTCATTCTCTCTCTCTCAAATAAATAAATAAAAATCTTTAAAAAAATAAAAAAAAATAAAAACCAGTGTTTTAGTTAATTGATTACTTAGCTTAATTAATTGATTTTGTGATTCATTTGCTATTTCTGACTTTGAAAAAAAGAAACTGACTCTGCTCATTTTTAAGTTAGATATAAATCAAGGTGAAATGTTATGTTTTAATATCCCTTATCTCTTTTTCTTCCTATTTACCAGGTTGGAGGGGTACTTTGTTAGGTATTGCTATGGCTACAGTGAATGCTATGATCACAGAATATGGCTGTAGTTTGGAAGACATTATTGTTGTACTGGGACCTTCAGTAGGACCTTGCTGTTTTACTCTGCCCGGGGAATCAGCAAAGGGATTTCATAATCTTGATCCTGAATGTGTACGGTTATTTGATTCACCAAATCCCTATGTTGACATTCGTAAAGCCACCAGGTATGTTTGATTTCATTTCAGAACTGCAAGTTTGGTTATTGCTTATTGTTTCTAAAATGAAAATTATTTTAGACAACAATTAGTAACTCCAAGAAAAATTGAGGTGGCAGATAAATAAGTAGCTGACATACACATATATACAAAAACTTATTTTGATTATGAAATATATTCTCATTTAAGTTTGACTAACAAATTTTCCTGTTATCTCTTAATTGACTTTACAGTGAAAGAAGATATATTTGGCATATAGTTTTGAGAGATCTACTTAAACTTCATATAGAAAAGTTGCATGTACTTCATAGCCCTTCAGCTAAAATCTCTAATGTAATAAACTATCAGGAAGATGATATTTTAAAATTATTTTTATTCCCATTAACTAGAGGAATATATTTCTTAGCAAAAATGTTAGGTAATATAAGCACATAGTCACTTTCAAGCTTTCTCTGGTCCCTTTCAATTTTGAATTATGAAGTTTTGCTATTAAAAGCCATTATTTGTCTTTTCTAAAAAAGAAATTTGATCTGAATTGTGTTTCTATTCGTCAACAAAACCTTGCCCAGATTCTGCATGATTTAGCACATAAGTAGAAAGGATTGAAGTTGATTCTTAAATGTAACTTGTGGAATTAGTATCACTAATTTATAGTCATATTTTATATTGTAAAGTGTTTACGGAGAAGCAACTTCTCTGTGAAAAATTTTTTAATAGGAGGACAAGAGATGGGAGGGCCAAATGACTAAAAAGCATGCTCTGTCTGAACCAAATGAATCTTTCTGCAAATACCCTGGTAACTTTAGATGTTTCTTCTAAATAAGTACTTGATTTTGATTATAAAATTCTGTACCCACGTCATGTCTGCAGGACAATATAGAAGGTTTTACAGTTCATATATGAACTTAGATTAATGGTGATAAAATCTTCCATTTCCTGACTTTTTCATGTTTTATATCTGAAAACCAATTTGCATTGTTTCAAGCAAATCTTTCTCAGAATTCTTTTACACCAGTATCCATATGTATATATTTTTTATTGCTTTGGCTATTGGTAAAATAAAATCTTGGTATCTTTTGAAAAATCTTTATCCTAAGGATTCTTCTAGAACGGGGAGGAATTCTACCACAGAATATCCAGGACCTGAACCAAGATCTTAACCTCTGTACATCGTGCCATCCTGACAAGTTTTTCTCCCATGTCCGAGATGGCCTTAATTTTGGTACACAGATTGGCTTCATATCAATTAGAGAATGAGGTACAGTAGGTTCTTTCTCTCCCTTTACTTCTCTCCTTCCTCTTTCCACCTTTCTGTCCCCTCATTTTAAAAAATAATTAATTATATTTAACTTTACCCCTTTATTCTTGGAGGAAGAATTAAGTTTCTACTTTTTAGTGAAGGAATAGAGGTGGAAAAGTTAATTTTTAGGGGCATGCTCTAATATAAAGAATAGCCACTCCTTTTCCTAGTTAATGAAGAATAATCAGGCCAGCATATAAAAATAAAATAATTTATTTAAAAAATCCTGTATGTATACCATTTATCACCTATGTATTTGACATCAGTATATTTCCTATCATAACATCTTTATACCTTTCTTTTTTATTCTTTTGATTTTTGAGAAGAAATCTTTGCATGAAGATTCTAAATTCTAGGATAATAAAAAGTCCTCACATATCCAAACTGGCTTGGTTTTCAACTAGATTTGCAACTGATTATCTATAGCAAGGGTTGGCCAATTTTCTTTAAAGGGTAGATAGTAAATATTTTAGGCTTTGTGGTACATACAGTCTCTGTCTCAACTACTTGGCTTTGCCATTATAGAGCAAAAGCAGATATAACAACACAAACAAATGAGTATGACTGTGTTTCAATAAAAGTTTATTTATAAAAAACAGGTGAGGGGCCAGGCAGGTTTGGCCCACAGGCTATAATTTGCTGATACACGATCTATAGTCATTAAGACTGAGTATAATTTCATTAAATTAGTATTTATTTCAGATGTTTTTTTAGAGTTATACAAAAATATTTCATGACAGTGATTTAGTGCTGACCCTTTAGCATATATCTAATTTTCCTTAAGTTTACTCTTAACTGAATTAATATTATTTTTAATCTTCACAATGTCTTTAACTCTTTAATATACAAAAGACTTTAGTAGGCTTAATGATCCTTACCTTGATATTGTAATAGCACTAGTAAGGGTCTTATATTTGTTTTCTCTGTATTTTTACAGATACTTGACTGGATTTTTATACAACTATTTCTTGCCTCCTTCTAAACTGACTACAAGAGAGAAATTTAGCTGTTTGATTTACTTAAAACCGAAAGGATTACAATGGATAATTCATCTTTAGGTATATTTTCACTATTATCCAAAGCCAAATGACTTTCACTTGATTCTAGTAAAATCTAGATGAGGATTATTCTTAAAGTTTGTTCTGTTTGTTATATAAATCAGGAATAGGTCTGTTCAGTTCAGTATTTACTGGGTATACCCTATTTGTCAGGCATTGTGTGAAACATAAGTGAATCAAAGTGAATAAGACCTTTTCTCCTTGAGTCTAATGCAGTGGAGGAGATAAACACTTATAATACTTTAATTTTGATAGCAGTGGAAGAGTACAGAGGAAGGAAGGGTCAGGAAAGTGCTATAGAGAAAATGATATATCACATGGGCCCAAAAGAGGTACAGGCTTTTGATAAATGAAGAACAACCATAACAGGTAGAGGGAACACCATGAACTAGGGCATAAAATTGAAAGTGTAAAACATGTTCTAGAGAGAGAACGGTGTAGACAGAGGTTACTAGAAAAACAGGTTGGAAAGAGATTAGTCTCAAATGCCATGTCAAAGAGTTTAGAGTTGATTTTCTGGGTAAAGAGTAGGCATAAAAAGTAGGGGAGTGTTTTTATTTCCTTAGCGTCATTTGTAACAGGATGGATTTAAATTGTGAGAGACCAAAGCAGAGAGGCTTTTTTAAGAGGCAAAATACTTTAAAAAAGAAACAAGACAGTGGAATTAAGATGGAGGAGAGTAGATGAAGAGACATTTCAGACATGGAATCAGTAGATCCTCTTAATAGATAATGAAGATGACAGATGAGCAGGAGTGGAGAAGTCATTGATGACTCCAAGATTTCTGCTTGGTTGACTGTCAAGAACAGCAGTAAGAGGAAGGAAGATGTTTGGGAAAAGGGAGAAGAATAATGAGTTTGACATGCAGACTGAAGTATATCCAGATGGAAATATTTGGTCAATAACTAGGAATACAGACGTCACATCTTGGTGGGAGCTGGGAGAAAGATACAGATTTAGAAGTTGGCTATGCAGATATGAGGCCTGAGTCCATTGGAGTAGGCTGAATCATCTAGACAGAACTACAGGGTGAGAAAAAGGAGGTTCAAGTGTGAAACCTCATACAATACCTACATTTGAAGAAGAAGAAGCTGAACCAGTAAAAAAAAAAAAAAAAAGATGAATCATTAGAAATAAGGGGGAAAAAAACAGAGTATACTTATTTTGAAGAAAGTAGCCAGTATGAATGTGAAAGGTACTCAGAATTTCCAGAGATACAAGGTACAAGAAATTTTCAGAGAGAATAAAATGAGGACTGAGAAGGAAGCCAGTGGATTAACCCTATCAAAGCTGTTCTACAAGCAATGGGGACAGAGTCTGATTTCAGTGCATTGAGGAGGAGGATGCATAAGTGTCCACTCTTCTTTGATAGTATTTACTAGAGAAAATAAAGTACTGGGGTTGTATCTCAGATCAGTACTTTTAAGTGTATTTGTAGGCTGAAGAGAGGAGTCAAGCTGTTTTCACTTGGGAGAAAATGGTGTGACATAAAATATATGACATGTATTTTTAATATGAGTAGTTATATTGCACCTTAAAAATTTTTCTTACACATTTGTTTCTAACTGAACATGTAGTAGAATAATGGAAAATTATATTTGTTAGGTATTTACAAAGGACTTTTACATACATTATTTCATTTTACCTTTATAGCTACTCTGAAATACATAGGTCAGTTGTTACTCTTTTTATTCAGGTGAGAAAACTGAGTCTCGTTGGAGCTTAAAATCATATAATTTATGGTAAAATAAGATTTGAACCCATATCTTGTGACTTAAAATCTCATTTCAGATTTTATAGTTAATCAAAGCTATCTAAATTTTTATTTTCAACTTTTTGTTAATATCATCCATTCATACATTCAGCCAAAATTTTGTTGAGATACAAGGATAGGTTAAAAAAAATATAGTCATAGCCTTTCAGATGTTTAATATCTAGTGAAAGGTGGTAATCAGTAAACCAGCAATTTCAATACTGTGATTTATGTTGTACAGCTGTCACAACCTGATACCTTATTTAGTTGAATTCTTCCATGCAACTCGTAGCTCAGTGTAAAATTTAAATAAAATACCTCATTTCTTCCAGTTGGTGAAAGGTATTAAACACAAAGCATAGGACAATAATTTCAGACTCATGCAAAAAAACTTTCCTGTTTAATGATAATTACAAAGATAAAGAATAATTTCATACATTTAGAAAGGTTGATAATTTTCCAATTCTGTGCATTATTTTTTTTGAAGTTTACAAATTTATAAGAGTATTAGGTGGCTGGGGCACCTGGGTGGCTCAGTCAGTTAGGTGTCTGCCTTCTGCTCAGGTCTAACCCCAGGGTCCTAAGATTGAGCCCCATGTTGGGCTCCCTTTTCAGTGGGGTGTCTGCTTCTCCGTCTGCTCCTCCCCCTGCTCGTTCGTGCTTGCTCACTCTCTCAAATAAATAAAATCTTAAAAAAAAAAGTATTAGGTGGCCATATTTCACTTTATATGTACCAAAATATTCTAAAACCAAATAAAAATTATATTTGATTATCTGTGATTTTAGATTATCTGCTTCAGAGTATTTAATGAAAAGTCTCTTTGCTATTTTACTGAGTGAAACATATTTTTTCAGTAACTCAGAAACATAATGACTAGGTTGTTAAATCATATCTTATTATCTTTATAAGATCTCTGTCACTCTCAAGCATTTATATATAGTCTTCTGGGACTTTGGGGGTACAATCACAGTGATAATTTTTATTTTTAGTAAGTTTTGTTTTCAGTCTAAGCACTGCTACTAACTGCACATAGGAAATATTGGTTGTCGTTTTATTAAGAGGAATTAAATTTGTAAATCAGATGAGAGTTCATGACTTGATTATTTTGGAGGTACTAAGTATCAAACTAAAATTTAATTGTGATTTTAAATTGTGAATAGTAGCATAGTGACTAAATATGCTATACTACAGTGCTTTATAAAACAAATTAAAAAAGTGATCTTTCCACTAGGAGGCAGTATTTCTACAAGTAGCTCTGCTCTGTTTCTTGATATAAAGTTGAACCAATCCATTCTCTGTATTTAGTTATACCAAAAAAAAAAAAAAAGGAGGGGCATTTAAACTTAAAGAATGTATTGGTCCTATTTTATATGCAAATATCTTGTAGTTCAAGTATATAAAAGCATTTAGGAACCCTCACCCACCTGGAACTCTCTCACTTCTACAGAATCTCTAGTAACTCTTTCTCTGGAAGTAGATTTTTGGGGGAAAAATTCACAGAAGCTTATTCTGTGACACATGACAAAAACATAAATAATACCCACCAATTCAGAAGCTGAAAGATAAGATGTCAATTATATATGAATTACATCATTTTATATCCCAAAGTGGATTTGATATGGTTTTCACTTGGTTGTCCTAAAGTTATACTTAGAACATATCCATCCTACTTTTTTGTGAACTCTTAGAGAATGCCACCAACCTATAGAAGTTCAGGACTTTCAAGAAAGCACTGCTCAGTTATCTTATGTGTTTGTGTGTGTGTATGTGTGGATCTGAGTGTTCATGCTAAATGGCAAGCAAGAAATCTGTATGTGTTACATATGATACATAGCCTCTTTGCCCTAAATGTAAATTCACACAAAACATATTGGATGCAGTCGAATTAATAGATTTCTTTCTATAAAGTTTTTGTAAATTGTGCAGTAAAGAATGGGAATCATGGTTTATGTGCTTACTGTATATGTTTATGGGAACTGTGGTCTGGTGCACCTACGTTTCCATTGTAGGCAGTGTTCTAAAACTTGTGATTTCAAAGATGGGGCAGCTGCTGCAAAAAATGCATTATTCTGTGCTAGATATTTGCTTAGTGAAGGAATTAGAATCTGCCAGTACTGCTTTTTCCAGGTTAACACATTTAGTTTGGACTCATGATGATTGCATGTCAATTTTGTGGAGATAAACTTTTCCTACTCTCCTTAGATGCATTTTTTTTTTTTTTTAATGGAGAAATAAATGCTTACGTCGTATTTCCCGAGTCTTTGTGCCAAGTGCTGGTGGTAAACTATGTCCTTTCTAAATCTGGAGCAGGCTTTTTGTTTTATTTAATTCTCAGAAGGCTGGGGTGTTCAGTTATGTATTTTATTAACCAACTAAAATTTTCAGCAGACTCTAGCTCAGAATGTCACATTCCTTTCTAACAACAACAACAAAAAGAGTATTCTCATTTCATGAGAAACATTTGTGGAAAATAGATTGGTTAATGGTAACAATTGAGTTTTCCATTTTCTTAATTCTTTTGCATTGCACATTGCTTCAGTTTATATCTTACACGTACTTCCCTATTCCTTTACTTTCCTTAAGTATGTTTTAGAGTTATATTTTCTTATCCTCCATCATCCTTGTTTTCATAATTGATGTTTCATATTCATAAGGTAACTTAATTCTTTCAATTTTATACTTTCAAGTACATATTCAGACTTGGATATAAAAGTTCCTTGTTGGACATATCCTGTGGGCCCCTCAAAATAATATCCTCCAACTTACCATTTTCCCTCCAAAATTTGTTCCCCTCTCATGTTCTATCTCAGAGAATGAAATCATTTTCCATGAAGTTGCCCATCCAAAAATCTTAGAGTATTTCTGAATGTCTCCCTTTCCTTCACCTCTTCTTTTCCTATGCTTCTACCTTTGTAAATCTATCATCCATTCCTGTGTCTCCGTCAAAACTGCCAGATACTCAGATCATTATGTCTCATGTGTATCATTTGAGCAGCCTTCTAACTAGTCCTTCATTGAATCCCTTCTTTCACTGCTATTATTGATTATTCTAAAATGCAAGTCTGGTCATATTACATCCCTCTGAATTATTTTATGGTTTTTCCACTGTCTCCAAGATAAAGACATGCTCACTGACTTTTATAAGTGCTATTATGATCTCACCCCTGCTTACCTTTTCAATTTCCACCATTCCGCATTATATCTATATCACATATTCTAGCCATTCTGCATTTTTTTTCATTTCCTAAAATATACATTAGGTCAGACCACAAAGGTTGGTTTGCATTCAAAGATTGAC